CTAGCTGGATGGCGGTGGCGTAGCGTGTACGTCCTCTTGTGTCTGCTGCGTAAATACAATTGTGTTGCCTAGTTTTTCATCCACTCCTTCATCTCCATTCTAGATCGAAGCTGCTGGACTTTATATGATGTATGGATATAAAGCAATAGAGTCCGTATCAAGACCTTTCTCCCAATCCCCTCTTTTCCTATTCACTCACAGATCCCCCTCGAACATTCCCTAACCTATACCTATATCCCCTAAAAATTTACGTTGTCATCTCGGTGATAAAGGTCTCCAACTCTGAGAATCATATCCTCTGGAGGATATTGAAATACATTTATTCTTTGAATCACCACTAAAAATCTTTAGCGTTGGTCTTGCATGACATTATCCAAAGCCAACCTGGCAGTGATGAGGCGTAAGGGAAACGAGAGGCCAACTCAGCCTTCCCTGGGATGGACCACCCATCACCCCTTCCTGCCCTCCCCCATTAGACCAGATCAAGCAAGACGACAACCCACTGTAAACAGCCAAGCAGAGCCAGCTCTAACTACACCGCTAAACTGACCAAGCTGACGTACCAGCACCACTGATTCCTGTAAGGACACAAAGCTTAAGGCTTATTAGGCTCATGTGTGGTGAATTAGTGTAGGAAGTGCTGAACTTGGAGCCAAATTTTGTAGGTATGAACCAGTGGTGTGCTGATAAATGTTTATCAGCTCTCAGGAAGTGCTGAACTTGGAGCCAAATTTTGTAGGTATGAACCAGTGGTGTGCTGATAAATGTTTATCAGCTCTCAAAACAAAAGGCCTGATCTACAGCATTTGTGATTTTCTGTGATGTAAATACTTCCACATGGCCAAGCTGAGTAAATGCTGGACTGGAATGTTGGAAAATCACCTTTATGCACATGACTATGCCCTGGGCTGTCAGAACTGTGCTATGAATCTGAGTGCCTGTTGCCTAGAAAGCTGCAGCACAACACTTTTCCTCCTTTTTACCTCAAAATCCTCACATATGCCCTCCAACCCCACAAGATGAAAAATGTTTAACAGCAAAAAATGTCTATGCCCTTGATTTCTCCGTTGGGAACTATACCAAATAAAAGTCTCTGTAGAATGCTAGTAGATTTGGTTACTGTGCATGGTTAGAGCCAGAGAAATGATACTCCATGAGGAGCGGCACAAATAGCATAGGGAGGATCCACAGGAGGGCCCAGCTGCCAAGGGAAGGGCAAACAGTGGGCTTCTGTAGTGGGATCCCCCAAGCACACCCACTTACCGCTGGCTGAAGGGCAGGCAGCGGCGTCTCAAACTGAGGTTGGATGAGCTGGAGAGGTTCATGTTTCACGTTGAGCTGTTCATAAGCCCTGTGTTAACAATAAAGAAAAGCAGGATCAAGATGAGAGACAGTGTGCGGAGAACATCTATGATCGTGTGGTGCTCTCCATCAGATGGGCGGTTCAGCACTTCTGCAGAAAAAGTGTGTGTTCTTACACGTGATGCAATAATCCTTTCGTGACTCTCCTCTACAGCATCATCGAGTACGACTTCATTGAGAAGTGAAAGGGAAAGTTTTATATCAGGCTTCTCCTAGTAGGCTTTTCATTGTTACCCAATGAACACTGATTCTTTTAACTCACTGTTTCCTTGTTTGTTTTTTGTTTGTATTTTTAATAAGGCACCATGCTTTTTTTTTTTTCTTTTACTTGATTCTACAAGAGGGAAGGGAGAGGGAGAGAGAGATAGAAACATCAATAATTGAGTCATTTAATCGGCTGCCTCCTGCACACCCCACACTGGGGATCGAGTCTTGCAACCCTGGACATGTGCCCTGACTTGGAATCAAATCATGACCTCCTGGTTCAACAGGTCAACACTCAACCACTGAGCCATGCTGGCCAGGCCTTATTTGTACTCAAACAGTACTCAAATCTGAAGTCTGCATCTAGTAACTGAACAGATCTGTATGACATCCACATCTGTGTGCTCATTCACTCAACAAATACTTACTGAATGTGCAGGCAGTTTTAGTCACCAGGAGTATAGCAACAGTGAAAATAGATATTAAGAGCCTTGGCCGGCTCACTTGGTTGAGTGTCGTCCCATGCACTAAGAAGTCGCCAGTTCAATTCCAGTTGGTTAAGTCTCCGGAAGGCAACTGATCGATCTCTCACTCCTCATATATCATTTTTTTTTCCTCTCTCCTCTCTCCCTCTCTCTCCCATCACCCTCTCCTCTCTCTTCCCCGTCTCCCTCTCCCTCCCTCTCTCCCCCTCCTTCCCTCCACCTCTTCCTTTCCCTCTCTTTCTCAAATCAATAAATAAAAATAAATAAAACCAGGGAAGTTCGAGGAAAAACCAGAACAAGTTGATCACCCTAAAAGGCTGATACAGCACCTGAAACACAGTAAGGGCTAACAACGGCTAGCCGTTCCCTCTGCGTCAGCACCCCTACCCCAATGTCCCAGCCCTCTCTGTCAACCTCATCATAGACCTGAGAATGTGTTTTGCATACACATTTGTTGTGACCCTAACCTCCCTCCCCAGGCTCATGTTTTTAAACCAAACACTCAGAATGAAGTGCAGTGCAGCCCAGAGAGCCACAGGTACTGACTTGATGACCTTGGAGAGGGAGGTGACATCCAGCTGGTAAATGGACAGGTCAAAGAGGGTGGTGAAGTCCCGTGGGTTCTCATCACCCTCTTGGAGGCACACTCGAAGCATCTCTGACAGGGTGGCTGTGTCAGGCAGCATCATGTAGTCGGAAATCTGAAAGCCACAAGAGGGTTCCTTTCAGCAGGGTAGAAAGATTTTAATCTGTCAAGTCTCCAATGTCTCAGGTCTAAATCTGTAATATTTATAATCTCTTGCCAAGAGATTTCACCATTCCTGATCACTGACAACACCCTTAAATAAGCCACTCTGAGTCACTTCACTCAACCCCAATGCTGGCTAAATCCACCTCTCCAATTACACATGCTGGTATTCACGTCACTGGACACAGCTGGAGAAACCCACACCATGCTGACTGGTCTGCTTTTAATTTCATGATCACTGACCTTGAGTGCTCAGCAATCAATAATATTCCCCTAGTCCAGGGGTGGGGAACATCCAGCCCGCAGGCCATATAAAACCCGCAAAATCAGGCATTGGGGGTGAGTTCATTAAATGTTTGACCAAATACAGCAGGCTAATTTTTAAGTTGATAATTTTGTATGGCCCGTCAATGATGTCATAAATATCCAAATGGCCCTTGGCAGAAAACAGTTTCCCTACCCCTGCCCTAGTCCATTCACTTCCCATATTCCTACAGTTTCCTTTTGTCACTTCAACCATCTAAAGTGATTTTTCCTTTCTTAATGTTAGCCAATGACCTTATTTTCTACTTCAGTAAGAAAACAGGCAATCACAAAAGAAAGTCCACAAGCTTCCACTACATCTACCCACCCACCAGCATCTGGGCCATACACTTTGCTTTTTCTCCTGCTACATGTACAAACCCCTATGATCTCAGATCAGACAACCTCCCCCCCCGCCACCCCCCTGCATGGACACTAGACCCCAGCCCTTCTCACACCTAACCAAGGACATGCCTAATGATGACACATGCTGTGTGCTGGAAACAGTAAAAGACCAAGAAAACTTAAATGTCCATCAATGGGAGATTGGCAAAATATACTACATACAAACAATGAAAACACAGTCTTAAAAAACAGGACAAAACTAACAAAAGCTCTTTATGTATAAATATGGGAACATCTCCAAGACAGGTTGGTAATTTTGAAAAGTAATGTGCTATTAGTGTATATACACATTCGAGAAACTGCTAAGATTGCCATCACTGCAGATGGCAAAGAAGACTGTTTAAAGCAAAGAAGACTGTTTATTGCATATGCTTTTGAACTCCAAACTATGTGACTGTATTATCTACTCAAAAATTAATTTAAATTTAAATAAATGCATGCTGGCAACAAGAACTATTCCTTATGCCCTTTGAGCTGCATTTAGCCTTGATTCTAACAAGGCCAACTTGGTAACAGTTTGAAAATCGGTCCTCTGAAGCCACGCAACATACTGTCCCACATTCTCCAGCGCCAGCACTTGAGGAGCCACGCCTGAGCACTACAGAAATAAGTCAGGACAAACAGGCTCACTTTTCCCCTATATTCCAAGGGTCCAAGTCTCCCCCAATCCTCAAACTTTTTTGTAGACAAGAAACAAGGAAGGAGCATACAAGTAACTGCTCTTCTCCATAACACGGGTCTATTTTAGAAGCTCCAGCCCTCTAATGTGACAGTGGTTTAAGGTTAGAGGAGTAAAAGAGCCCAGCAATGGGCCCGGGAACCCCAAAGGTCCGAAGGCTGATTCTTGTCTCTGCACAGAGACCTGCTACAAACTCCTACTTCCGAAAAGCACCAAGGCCTTAAGTGTCCAGACAGAAACTTAAGAGTGCTCTCAGACCACTGGTTTTCATGACTTCCTGGCAGCTTTTGAGGTTAAAACTTGTTATGTAAATTTCTTCAACTATTTATCGAGCCACCATTTTATTTGATTAAATATTTGAAATTGAGCTATATTATCTGGGGTTGAAACCCATTTGGCTGTAACAAGATTTGACCGAAAATCATAGGGAAGTTCAGGTTCTCAGGATGTCTTACTTCGCAATGCTACTGGATCCAGCCTTTTACTTTCCGAAGCCTTCAAACTCGAAGGACAGTTTTCACCAGGCCTCACACCTGGAAGACACATTAACCTGCATGGTTTTAGAGGAAGGCTTCACGACACTATTCCTCTGGCTTCCTGTCGGCATGTCCCCTCAGAACCAGTCCAGTGTCACATGTGAATAACGGAGAAGAGACACGGGCTCCGCAATCAAGCTGACGTGGGCATTAATAATGGCCTAGCCAGGTACTAATCTCAGCGGGGAGCTTCAAGAATTTAGTTGCTTCAGTTTCCTCAGCTGGAAAACAGGAGTGACGGAAACTGAGCAGGAGCAAGGTGGCCGCCCAGAACGGGAGTGGATGCAGCATCTTGGGGCTGCGTCCCTTGACCTATGACCCTCTAACTAGGGTTGGCAGCTGCCAACGATCCATCCACTCAGAGTTGGGTCCTGTGAGATCTGAAAAGCGAATTCCTGGGTGCACCCCAATTCTTTTATCTTGGGGGCTTACATCACTTTTCAGGAGGAATCTAAGCTAACTAGCCATGCACTTACTGTTTCCATGTAAGGAAGTATCAGACATGGGGCTCTCCTGCTTCCTAACCCGAGTCAGCTCCTGGGGGCCATGTCCTCAGCTGAGGGTGGAGGCAATCGGGACGCATTTCTGACTGCCTTCTGCCCACTTCCACTCCACTCCACACCCAGGAACTCATTTTCCTGACATTTTGAGGTTAAGGCACAGAGAAGCAACTGTAGAATGAGTGGACTGAATCAGGAGACCTGGGCTTGGATCCTGGCTCCACACGTGCTTGAAATCTGAGCACACTGTAATCTTACAGAATTTTAGATTCTTCATCTATAAAATGAGTTTAACACCATCTACCTCCCAGGGCTATTTCGAGGCTTAGATCAGATGGTTTATGTGGAAGTATATGATATACAGTAATTACAAAAGTTAAAAACAATGTCTTGTAGAGATCTATAGCACCTTTCACACCTTCTAGTTTAACAAGTCTATTTACATCTATGAACTTAGGCCTCACAATCACACTGAGAGGCAAACATCACAGGTATTAGTGTCCCCTAAAAATAGAATGAAAAAAAGGACAAAATAACCTGCTGAAGGCCCAAGGACTGGTGGTGAAGCTATTGGTGCCCAGTCCAGTGCTGGTTTACCACTGGTCCTAAGACTGGTATTATTATAATACCTTTAGGACTTTTATTGCCAAAGGCCACAAAATCATAGTTTAAAACTTCAATTCAGATGATTCTTGTTTCTTTCATGAAAAAAATATTTTTATATCCTTCATATTTCTGAAAGAAGTATTTCTCTACAGATACTGATTTTGAAAATTTGAACCAGGCACCATATTTTAAAATTCCAATTATTATATACATATAGAGGCTCCCATGCCAATAAATTCTATAATTATGTAATTTGATTTACTATTTTTTTTTACAACACAGCCTTCATCTCCCCAACAAGCATCACTTCCTGCCATCTGTCTTACAGACAAGGTAAGAGATCTATTCCCTTCGTACTGTTAGAAGTGGTGCTGAGAAGGTGGACTCCATTTTCATTTAAAAGTCTTTTTAATGATTCACAACCTCCTACCTCTGGATCCTCAGCATCAATCTGGTTTAGATGAATGTCTTCTGTTGTAAGCCATTGGAAAACAACATCCTGTATTTAAAAAAAAATAAGCCAGAATTAAACACTTGGTTATCTGAGAAAGCCAAAGACAGGAATAGAGAATTCAATCAATAAAGAAAAATTAATAATAGGAAAAAGACTGAACCGGTGATTCAAATGAGAGTACCACCTTCCTCTTTGTGAAATCATATAAAAACTTAAGTTTTCCTCACTGTAATGCCACTTTTATTATCGGAAATTTATTGTTTATCTTAGGGCGTTCTATCCTCTAACCACAAGCCAGATTTGATAAAACGTGTTCTCAGTCCCAAAGCAATCCCTGTTTAACGTGCTGAAAGTCTGCACTTAAATCAGAGAATATACCTAGATCTCCCCAGACTGTCTAGTGACAATGGAACTTCATGTGGATCCCACAGAATCAAGCACTTAATTCATCTCCCAACACCTAGAGTCCTGAAGGCCTCAAGTCTCCAAAGCTGAAGGACTGCATTTCATTAGTGGAAAATGGGAGTTTCTTCCTCTGGGAAGTGTCACTGGAATCACATCAATGGACACCTGGGCACGCAGTCTGTCACCCTTCACAGGTCTCCTTCACACTATTCTGAAGCAGCTGCCATATCTGTACCTCATTCCCCACAACAATCAGTGACCCCTCCTAGCCCTGGATGATATGCTCAGTGGTGAGAGTGTTGGCCGTGCACTGAAGGGTCACAGGTTGGGTTCCTGGTCAAGGGTACATACCTGGGTTGCAGGTTCAATCCCTGGCCCCAGTCAGGGTGTGTGCTGGAGGCCCTGGCCCCAGTCAGGGTGTGTGCTGGAGGCAACCAATCAATGTCTCTCTCTCACATCAATGTTTCTCTCTCTCTCTCTCCCCTTCTCCCTCCCTCCCTTCCTCTCTCTCTAAACATCATGGAAAAAATATCTTCACATGAGGATTAACAAAATAAATAACTACCCCTCCTAAATACTGCTTGTGCCTGCTAGCCCCCTCACCTCATTCAGGACCTCCCTTCAGGTCCTTTCTCCTCTTACCTGGCTGACTCCACCAGCCTCAGAACTGGCCCCAGGCTGCCTCCTCCTTTCCACTTTCCATATGCCTTACCGAGGGGTCTTTCTAAAACTCAGATCTGACTATACTCAAGGCTGCTCAACACCTTGCAAGGGCGCCTGAGGCTTTCTGCAGAAAGTTCAAGCTCCTGAACTTTGTACATGAGACCCTGACTGGGCCTGTTCCCAACCACTTCCCCAGATCGGCTCCCACTCTACGTTGGCATGCTTAGAAACACTCGCCGCTTCCTTCTGGATTTCCTTCTTGGTCTCTCACGCTCTCTCTCTCTCATACTGCATTATACAGTCTCAAAGCAGAGACTATGCCTGACTCAACCTCGTATTGCATGGCACAAAATGGACTCTGAACAGCTGGTTTTAAAAGAAAAGATGAATTGGTATTTTTTTTTAATGACATGAAAATCATATTTATACGTTATACGTTAATGTGATGAAAGGGAAAAGCTCACCATGATTTTGCTATTTTCTTCTTTATCTAAATATTGGTCACTAAACATGTGACATGAGCCAAGCACCGCCAGCTTCCCACCTTGGTTCTGCAAATGACAAAGCAGCATCAGACATTAGGATCCCAAAATGTACTGCATGCACCCTAGTTTCCAAACACCTATCAACAGAATTATGTAAGCAACTGTTTTGTATATAAGTAAGTGCCATTTCTCATCAGGATTTCAACAGTCTAGAAATATCAACTATGATAATAACCACATTCCAATCTGCTTCTCATTTTAGACGCTTATATTGGACTTTAACAAAAAAAACTGTGAATTGGTTCTTTAGCATTTCCCACTGTTATCTTATAAAGATCATAACCTCAAAGAAAAAAAAAGATAAATCCAAAGAGAGTTCAAGACGTTTTCAAGTAACAAAAATAGTATTAGTTAACTAAGATCCAAACTAGAAAACTAAGCCATGAGCATGAAAAATTCACAACAGAAATGAAAAAATTTCAATATTAATAATTTTAAACAAATCAAAATAAAGTATTTTTGACTATTAGATTAATAAATATGTCAATGCCGAGACCGGTTTGGTGATCAGGTTTCAGTTCTTTCACACAATGTTGCTAAAATTGTCAATATATGCAACAAAGCAGTCTGAAATATACAAAAACACATCCCCGGTAGATGTGCAGGAGGCAGCTGATTGATGTTTCTCTCTCATCGATGTTTCTAACTTTCTATCTCTTCCTTCCTCTCTGTAAAAAATCAATAAAATATATTTTTTAAAAAAATAAATAAATAAAAAATAAATAAATATGTCAATATGACTAAAAACAGTGTTGATCAGGTTTCAGTTCTTTCACACAATGTTGCTAAAATTGTCAATATATGCAACAAAGCAGTCTGAAATATACAAAAACTTATGCACTATTTTACAGTTATAATCACAAAAAAATTAGAAATAAACCCATTTGCCCTGGCCGGGTAGCTCAGTTGGTTAGAGTGTTGTCCCAATACAACAAGGTTGCGGGTTCATAATCCCTGGTTGGGGCACATACAGGAGGCAACCAATCAATGTTTCTCTCTCACATTGATGTTTCTCTCTTTCTCTCTCTCTTTCAAAAAAAATCAATAAGCATATCCTCAGGTGAGGCTAAAAAAAATTTTTTTTTCATTAAAAAGAAGTTATCATAGAGATAGCCTCATGCTATAGTGGAAAGCTTTGGATTTAGAATGATAAAAGCTTGCTCCATCAATTATCCCCCTAAGTAAAGTGTAGATCATTGAAATGCCACTTTGCAGGACTGTTGAGCAGACCAATGAGAAAATACTGTATATGAAATCCCTCTAGAAACAGTAGTTTTTACTACTTCAATAATAAAAGAACATATCCACTCCTGTCTAGGAAAGGCTGTACCTTGGAGTGATAGAAAGCCAGAATGGGTCTGTTCAGTGGAAAACAGACAGAACCCGTGGACAGAACAGCAACTGCTGGTTTCATGACACTCAATGTGGCACCAAAAGGATATACAAAGGTGAGAGCCCTGTAAAACATTAAAGAAACATTCCAACTTTAAAAAATAATGAATAAAAACTTTGTGAAGATAATTTCAGCCTGGCCAGCGTGGCTCAGTGGTTGATCATTACCTATGAACTAGGAGGCAGTCACAGTTCAGTTCCTGGTCAGGGCACATGCCTGGGCTGCAGGTTCAATCCCCAATAGGGGCCATGCAGAAGGTAGCCAATCAATGATTCTCTCTCATCATTGATGTTTCTATCTCTCTCCCTCTCTCCCTTCCTCTCTGAAATTAATAAAAATATATTTTTAGATAATTTCAGTGTTTCTTCAGTAATTCATCCTCAAACACAAAATATCCTCTAAGCTTTGATTTGTTAACACAAAAATTAATATAATTCTAGCTGCCAGGTTAATAAAGCACATTAAGAAATATGAATGTAAATTTACAATTTACAATAATGTGCAAATGACTGTAACTAGAAGAACTAAAGTAGCCCCTGTGGAGGGGGAGGAAGAGGGAGCCTCATCTAAGAACTGAACCGAGTTCCACATGAGCCTGCTCTGTACAACAGCGTCGCAGAGGTAAACATTTCCCTCTCCCTGACAGATCTGACGGGTGCTCTCTCTAAGAATGACTGTCCAGCATTAGAAGAGTGTGCTACCAATTGAGCGCTTACATGAACAGAGCATGCATCTACCCCCACTAAACACTTCTACACAGACTGTCCTAACAGGGACTTAGGGTATCTCAAGTGAATCAGTCTGACTTGGGCAACGTACTCATGGAAATGGAATGGGGTGGAGGGGGGAAAGGAGGATGCAGATCCTGGGGTAAGGCCAACCAATATAGAAGGGGCAGGGTTTTACTGAAAGAAAGCTGGAGCTCTGCAAAGGTAGTTGTTTGAAGGAAGTGCTCTCAGAATGAAGAAAAGCAGCAATGTTAAAACCAAAGCATAAAGTTAGAAACTTGGGGGCTTGAGGGGCATGAGGAGTCTCCTATTAAGAGTTTAATTTATGCCCTGTTAGTTGGAGTGTCGTCCCATACACCAAAAGGTTACAGGTTTGATTCTGGGTCAGGGTACATATCTAGTTTGTTGTGAGGATTAAATGAGATAATATATGCCTGTCACATAGCAAGTCCTTCATAAATTAGATATTATTAAAGCAAAATATTATAAATTACCTATATGTTCTATAATAAGAGATTAGACAAGTTCAGATAAATCCAATTTTATCTAGTCATTAAAAATTTTTATGTATGAAAAAACATCTAGAAATCTAAATACCATACTGTTAAGACACATTATCTTTGGCATAGATTTACAGTAAAGGACTTCTATTTTGTTTCAGAAGAATTCTTTTTTTCTTTTTTACAAATTCCTTTAGTATTATACTGGCTTCTGCTTTTTTAAAAATATATATTCCATATTATCTTGTATTAGTTTCAGGTGAACAGCATAGTGTTTGGACAATCATATAATTTGAACCATTCAAAAAGCTCTTCATTTTGAAAAAGAAAACTCTGTAGAATGACAAAGGCGTCACCTTCAGGTGCCTCAGAAAACACACTCACTGGGCATTGTTTCCACTGCTCTCCTCATCAATGATTCCAGGCACAGCCTTCCCTGCAGCTCGGCTAATCTCCCTTGAAGAAAAATATGAAAACAATTTAGGAATTTCACCCTCCATTCAGCAGTAGCATAAACTAGATGTGAGGACTTTGCAGAGTTGTTCAAGACACAATTCTTAATAACTAAAGGCATACACCCATTACACACCTATACCTCTTTTGGGAAACTTGCAAAAGTTAACATTGAAGTATAAGGATCAGTTCCTGTTTCTTGAGACCCGAGGGAGGGCTCCATATACTAAACCCACATTCTAGACTAGCATTCTAGACTCTGTATCATCAGAGCCGGCAGAGTACCTGCCACGTAACAAGTTCAAGTGTGGAATCATTTTGCATATAGGGAAAAGCTCACAGCGGGACCTGATGTTGTTCCCCTCAGGCATTCATTTCCCACTTCCCTAAAGCCCCTAATTTATGTTTTTAGAGACAATGGATCACAAAAAACTGACTTCATCCCGGGCTCCAGGGCTGGAGAACATGAGTTAGCTATGCCATCAGGACATAGCTATGCCCTCTGCCACAGTGACCAGCCTGGATGTGCATGTGGCCTAGGCCAGCTCAAACAGGGCAAATGCCAGGACTACTCTTGATGGGAATGCTGGAGCTCAGGCACAGCTCTTTCCCCAGATGGTGTGGCGAGTGGAGCTGAATCTGAGAACTGTTAAAACTTCAGCCCACACACTCAGGAGAGCAGATCCAACAGACTCGCAGAGAAATGGAATTGGAACCCTGAAGACATGTATTTTCTGTTAATCCATATCCAAAATTTGCCTATTTCTGAGCTTTTCAATTGCATGAAACAATAGTCTCTTTAGTGTTTAATCCCATTTGAATAGGGTTTTCTGTTGCTTGCAACTGAATGTATTCTACTGACAAAAAGGGTGCTCTAGTCGGTGTTTCTCAGTGGTTAGTGTGTCGCCCCCTCTCACTGAAGGGTTGGGGATTCGATTCCAGGTCAAGGGTTCGCTCCCCGCCTCTGGTTGGGGCGAGTGCAGTAGGCAACCAGTCAATGTGTCTCTCTCACATCAATGTTTCTCTCTCCCTCCCTCCCTTCCTCTTTCCCTTCTACTCTCTCTGAAAAGCATGGAAAAAGTATCCTCAGGTGAGGATTAATAAAAATAAACAAATGAATAAACAAAATAAAAACTGACAAAGGGTGAATGTTTAGTAAGGTTTCAAAAGATGGGAGGAATATAAATTGATGGATGAGAAGTAATACAGTAAATAAATTATGATACAATAAAATGAAATAAAACAAAAGGGAAAGAGAAAAAAGGGCCAGTGAAATGAATGTGGGAAAGAGATGAGGGAAGATTCATGTAGGAAAGATGAGAGTCATTTATAAAGGCATTTCTGTTTTCAACATGCTTACCTATTCAAGACTCCATTGGAAACTAGAGCTTCTTTAGGATGGAAATACTTATAATATACATTTCTAACCACAGCATCTTTAAGGGGAAAAGACAGGAAGGCACATTCAGATTAGAAGTAAGTTTGATATTACTAGTAAAGATGCTTAAAACTTTGACCTGGAAGGGATCCTGAAACTCTGTTCCATTCCCTCTCACTTTATAAACAGAGGAAGCCCAGACCCAGAAGGTTCAGACTGCCAGTGAGGCCAGAATGCTGGACCATGTACCCTCACAGCCCAGGGGTTTTTCCATTGTACTATTCGGCCCAGGGGGTTGCAACTGGAATAATAAATAGGAAATGACTGCCTCTATTAAATTAATAATAATAATTACCATTATTAACCATGATTCCATATTCTTCAAGGAGAAAGTTAATATTGGTGTCAAATCTGGATTCCCCACCCTCTCCTAGCATCACAAGGATATCTCCACCGCCGTCAAGGTATTTCTTCAGGACCTCAAACTACACAAAGGAAAAAAACAATCTGTGAATATACCCAAAAAACTTTGGTCCACAATTCTATGAATAAGATCCTAACTACCTGAAAAATAAACACTTCAAATCTATAAGGCACCTAAATATAAATGTATATAATATAAAATTTACTTTCCTCATAGGATTTCCAAGCTTGTCTTTAAACATAAAGCTCAAAAATACTCAAACTAAAGTGACATTTTCCAAGTTGACAAGCAAACTAAAAGTGGGAAACTATTAGCTAAAGGAAGCTCACCGGTCTCTCACTCAGCAATAACCCTGGTTTCTACTTATTAGATGCCAATTGCACCTACCCGCTCCCGACAACCCAAAATGTCTCAGATATTGCCAAATGTCCCCAGGCACTGGTCGCTGACCCTCTCTCTGGATACTCTCACTTTCCTGAGGCTGCTTGCTCCTTGGCAAGGACCTGGTCACTGCTCTCTGTCTTCCCTAGGTGGAGAAGGGAGGTGGTGGGGGAGAAAATATACTGGAGTTAGGCCAAAGCCCAACAAATAAAGTTATTCTTTTGCAGGCCATTACCAGCTGCGTAACCATCTCCCCCAGGGTCTCACTGGGAAGGGTAGCTGGTCACCTCCATATTCCCAATGGTAATTCCTACTCCTCTCAATTCACCTGATGAAGCAGTTACCTCTTCATGCCCTTCCTGGATGAGGTGGCCTTGTAATCAGGTTGAGAAAAAAAGGACAACAGAAATGCTCCCCTGTGGACTCCTCTCTGGCCCCACCCAATATAAGAACAGGAGACTTGGTCTGCCTCAGACTAAGGACCACACTGGCCCCACCCTAGCTTCACCTCCCTGCTCCCCACAGCCCTCCCTGGGCACCAAGGCACTTTTCCAAGTCCCTGTGGGAAAGGCTCTTGCTGTGTTGTGGTTTTTTTGGTTTTTTTAGTTGTGGTAAAATACATATAAGATTTACCACCTTAACCATTTTATTTTTTTAAAATATATTTTATTGATATTTTACAGAGAGGAAGGGAGAGGGATAGAGAGTTAGAAACATTGATGAGAGAGAAACATCGATCAGCTGCTTCCTGCACACCTCCTACTGGTGATGTGCCCACAACCAAGGTACATGCCCTTGACCGGAATCGAACCTGGGACCCTTGAGTCCGCAGGCTGACGGTCTATCCACTGAGCCAAACCAGTCAGGGCCATCTTAACCATTTTAAATGTACAGTTCCGTAGTATTAAATATATTCACATTGCTGTGCATCCAATCTACAGAACTCTTCATCTCACAAAATTAAAACTCTACATCCATTAAACAGCAACTCCACACTTCCCTCCCCCATACCCCCACCACTGACAACTAGCATTGTAATTTTCTCTCTATGAATCTGACTACTCTAGATACATCACATAAATGGAATCATAAAGTATTTGTCTTTTCGTGTCTGGCTTATTTCACTTAGCATAACATTCTCAATATTCATTCATGTTGTAGCATGTATCAGAATTGCCTTCATTTTTAAGGCTGAATAATAAATCATTGTATGTATAGACCACATTTTGTTTATTCATCTGTTGGTAGACACTTGGGTTGCTTCCACCTTTTGGCTAGTGTGCATTATATAAACATGGGTGTGCAAGTAACTAACTCTTTGAGATCCTGCTTTCAGTTCTTTTGGATATATGTATATCCAGAAGTATGACTGCTGGATCATAGGATAATTCTATTTTTAATTTTGAGGAACCACCATACTTTTTCCATACTGTTTGAGGCTGCACCGTTTTACATTTTCACCAACAGTGCACAAGGGTTCCAATTTCTCTACATCTTTGCCAACACTTGTTATTTGTGTTCTGGGTTTTACATTTATCATTCTTTGTCTATTCCATGAAATAAAATAATTTAAAATGGAATTTTCCTACTTTCAAAGCAAAAATATGGCAAAGAAGTGTGACTAATATTTAATGAGCCTACAGTACGTGTCTGCCACTTTTTGTGCATTATCTCATTTAACCATCACAACTCGATCAAAAAAGAGATGACGTTAGTACCTGAAGGCAACACAGTAAGTGGTAAATAAGAGTTTAAATCCAGAATTTCAGAGCCCGGCTCCTAACCATTTCATTATATTTCTTCTTTATAAATATATTTATTTTATTTTATTATTTTTTTAAAGGGTATTTCTTACCTCAGCTGCAGTAAATTTTTCCCTTGGCCCAGCTGTAATCCACAGTTTCACACCAATTAACTTCTCAGATGTGATTTCATCTTTTAAGCTACAAATATGATTTTAAAAGCAAGTGTTAGATCCATAATTAAACCATTTATGTCATTTTAGCCTCTAGATTTTATGGACCCAGGGGCCACCGAGGCCTGGAAATAACGGGATTTAGAGGTGGCACTCCAGCCTCCCCCACAGTGAGAATCTCCGCTACGAGCTGGCACCAGAGCCATCGGCCTCTGCTCAGATGCTTCTTCTAAGCCACATTAAACTGCCAGAGCAGAAAGAACCCTCCCACTGCTAATGCAATCACATCTACCATTAGCTTGTATGACTACATATCCTACCCACTAAGAAAAACAACACACCCCAAAAAGAGAAAGATTTTCATTTTTCCTTTCTCTAAATTGATGTATAACCTAAGTTAAAATATGGAGAACACCTCTAACCTCTTAAAAAGTTGTATATGTATAATTAGAATAATTTTTTGTGTGATTTGGGGGATAACTTAATAATATGCTAACTGCCAATTTTCAAGAGATGATTTAATAATTTATTTACTTCTGAATGATCCTTAAATTGAGCTCTTCCCACCTAAACAATCTGGCCTATATAAGAAAATGAAAAACTTCAGTTTTAGCAGCAGGCTATTATTATTTGAAAGGGAAAACAATCCACAAGATCACCTCTGAATCTTCCAATTGCTCCGAAGTCTCTTCTGCATCGATTTATAGCCATTGTTGGTGGTAAATAGTTCCTTTTTGTATGCATTGAAAAGAATGGTGCTCCGAAGCTCCTTCTCCATGGTTACCTATGGAAAAAAGAAGGGATCAGAAAAAGAAAAACAATAACCAACAGTCCAAAAGAAAGACCCCAAAAGAAACAAAGGCATCTACTTCTTCTAATTTAATGAGAAAGGGTAGGAAGCTGCAACATACCTATGAAATCTCTGCAATTCTCAAAGGTTGAGAGTGAAACGCATAGCTGCAGAAACCTACGGCCAACCCTGGTGACCTCATGTCTCTTGCCTTGGCCTTCCCACCAGCTGACTCACATGGCCCTGCCCTGCCCTGCCCTCACCCTATCCCTGTGGGAGACCATGATTCCTTACTGCTCACTACTGTTAACTATAAGGTATAGTCTTATTTTTCCTTTCCTTTTTTTTTACATTAAGTTTATTGGGGTGACATTGGTCAACATGGAGGTATAGTCTTCTACATTCTTTTTATACATTCATAACTTGTAGTTTTATTTATAAAATAGGATTTTATCATATGCACTATTTTACAACACTCTTTTTTCACTTAACTCTGTATTTTTTCACATCTTTCCATGTTGGTACTTAGGGATCTTTTTTAAAAAAAAACACACACACAACTGCACAGTATTCCATTTTATAGATATACCATAATTAAACTAGTTATATACAAATTGACATTTCCCTCCCAAAATTTTGCTAGTAAAACAATATTACCAATCACCTTTGAACATGATGCTTTTGTGCACTTTCCATATTTGTAGAATAAATTCCTACCTATTGAATGGCTAAGTAAAGTGCCCTACCAAAATTTGTGACTTTTACTTCCACTAATACTAATACTATTTCTAATCCTTTTTATCTCTTCTAATAAGATAGGCACCCCATTTAGTTTTAATTAGCACTTTAAAATTAGTGAGATGGCCATCTTTTACTGTTTATACTGGCCACTTGTATTTCTTCTGATTTCCTTGTGCATATATTCTCCTTATTTTTCTGTTGGGTTTAATATTTTTCTAACTGATCATTAAACAAATACTTTCACAAATTTGTCTTTAAACATAGCTTATAGGAAGGAGCTTTCTTTGTTTTATTTGGTGAAATTTTGCAGGCCATACAGAAGGTTTAAATTTTAGAGTCAAAAGTATTAATCTTTTCCTTTCTTGCTTCTGAATTGCATGACCTAATTAGAAGAATTTTTGCCATGCTAAAGTTATGAATGCACCCGACAATGCTTTCTTCCCATACTTACATGTCATTTTAAAAAATGTAAATGCTGAGACCATGGCTGGGTAGCTCAATTGGTTAGAACATCCCCCCCGATATGCCAAAATTGTGTTTAGATCTCCAGTAAGGGCACATACAAGCAACCAATGAATGCATAAATAAGTGGAACAACAAATCAATCTCTCTCCCTTCTTCTCTCTCTAAAATCAATCAATAAAAAAAAAATGGTCCATTTGGAATTTATTTCGATGAAAATAAATTGTGACTTTTTACTAGAAAGCTGCCCGACACCTATCGAACTTCTCAATGCTGATTTTTAAAAATATATATTTTTATTGATTTCAGAGAGGAAGGGAGAGGGAGAGAGAAATAGAAACATCAATGATGAGAGAGAATCATTGATCAGCTGCCTCCCACACACCCCCTACTGGGGATTGAGCCCGCAACCCCGGCATGTGCCCTTGACCAGAATCGAACCTGGGACCTTTCAGTCCGCAGACTGATGCTCTATCCACTGAGCCAAACCAGCTAGGGCTTGATGCTGATTTAAAACATCACCTTTACTATACAATAAATCACTATAAATATCTGGATCTTATTCTGAATTCTATACATTCTACCTGCCTGTGGTTCCTGCTCAGTTCCATACTATTTTAATTACTACAGCTTTATAATCCTTCCTATATAATAAAAGGCTAATATGCAAATCAACCAAATGGTGGAATGACTGGTTGCTATGACATGCACTGACCACTAGGGGCAGAGGCTCAATGCAGGAGCTGCCCCCTGGTGGTCAGTGCACTCCCACAGGGGGAACAGAAGCCCTGAGCCAGGCTCATGGCTGGCAAGCACAGTGGCTGTGGCGGGAGCCTCTCCCCCCTCCATGGCAGTGCTAAGGATGTCAGTAGGACATAGCTGAGGGCTCCTAGGCTGGGAGAGGGCACAGGACCGGCTGAGAGGAACCCCCCTCCCCCACCAGTGCATGAATCTGGTGCACTGAGCCTCTAGTTATGTTATAATTTCTGGTGATACTGGAGAGCTAATCCCCCTTATTACTTTTTTTTAAATTTTCGGTTTTTACACACACCTTATTACTCTTAATTTTTAGATTTTCCTGGCTAGTCTCACATATTTACTTTTACAGTTTAACTCTAAAATCATTTTGTCAGATTTTTTAAATGCCCCCATGAACCCACCACAGCTATCTTTTCCTGTTTCATTCCATCCCTGTGCATGCTTGGTTTTTGTGTGTATATACAACATCGTACTCTGCTTTCTCCAGCTTCCCACAGGAAAAGTCTTCGTGATTAGGTTAATGGTTGCATGGCTATGTCATAATGAACTGAACCACCGCCCTCATGGGGATCTTTTCAATTCCGTGCCAGCACAGATACCACTGGAATTTACATATTTCTACCTCTGCCATTATTTTTGTTGCAGGGCAGATTCCGAAGAGCGGGATTCCTAGGAAAAGGGGACGGGGCCAATATGTTACGAGTTCTTGTCCAACGCTTTCACACTCTGCAGGACCACTGAAAACCCGCGCGGCCGGAAGCGATGGAGACTCGAGCCCAGTCCAGGGTCGGGGATTCAGGCCTACATCGTGCCCAGTTTACTTTACGCCAGGGGGCCTCTATTTTCCATAAGACCGGCCCCGGGCCCCTGAGGACAGCGCCAGGCCGCCCCAACGCCCCGGCTGGCCCGTCACGGTCGGAGCTCTCCTTACCTGAGGCCCGGTGACCACCATCTTCACCTGACGCCGCCCAGCATCCCGCCGCCAGGTATCCAAGGCCTCTTAGCAACGGCGGAGGCCGAGCGGCGCGCTGGGAAGGCGTGGACCGGGCGTGGGCGTACCTCGGAGCCACGTGATGACGACAGAACGGAAGACGCCGGTGGTGGTAGGGGCGGGACTTATATGGGACTGTACCATTATGTTGGATGGGGTTAAATCCAGACAGAACGTGGATTGATTTTAGGCCAAAGATAAACCGATTTAATTGTGTCCTTAGTATCAAGTCTTATTAAAGGCTGGCATAAATGGCAGGTCCCAAGAGCCTGAACTTCGCTCGACCCCGAGGATGAAGAATAGTGAAGACTTCCGGTCCGGGGTGCGGGTGAGCAACGCCCCAGACCGATCCCCAGAGCGCAGGCGCCAAGGGGCAGGGGGCGGGGCTTAGCGGCGGAGACCTGGAGAAGGCGGCCGGTCGCCGGGAGCGCCGGGCCTGGGACTTGCAGCGCGATGCGCGTGGGTTTGGGCTCCCAGGGAGGTCAGGGACGACTTCCCGGAGGAGCGTTTAGTGGTGAGAAGGGTGACATGAGATCGTTCTTTCTCTTTGATTTGTCCTGCCACGTTGAGCACCACGTAACAGACCCAGGATATGGCGATGAACCCGCCGTCTCGGCGTCTCCCAGCGAGGAGTTAGACCTGGTCAGATCTTAGAAAAAAGTGAAAACAAACTGTCTTGAGGGAGCTGCGAGGGGCCGGAGCTGGGCCGAAAGGCGCCCCCGATGAGCAGCGATATGAAAGGAGAGGGATACTCATTAAGGCGAGGGCTGGGAAGAGCGTTCCGGCAGGAGCTGCTCATGCGAAAGAGCCGTCGCCCTGAGAGCGCGCAGGTGCCAGCAAACGGCCTCCCTGCGCCCAGGGGAGCGCCCTGGACGTGCGGACCTTGGTGCAGTGCCACCGCCTCGCGGGCCAACCCAGGGAGAGCAGACTGCGGGCAGTTTCTATTTGAATTTATGTTTGTTAGAATCTTCAGCCTGTGCAGAGTGGTAGGAGTGTAGGGATCTTAAAACAAAACTCGTGCTGCCTTTTCACAACTACTGTCATTGCCAAGTTCAAAAGTGGAGGAGGGTGATTCGGCATTGTCTTCCCGGGGATGCTGTATTCTGGTGCAAAATTGGGTGACTACAGTCTTCGGTGAGGGATACAAATGGAATTCATGTGTTTCCTCTGCAGGGAGTAGGCGGTGCCACTTGAGTGTTGGTACCCTTCTGCTTGATGTAGAGTCAGTGTTTGCTAGAAGAACAAGAGTACCTGTCCAGAGCGCTTCTCCCACTGTTGGAAGTTGTGGAAAGAGCAAAGGTCTTAGAATCAGCTGCCACCAAGTTTCATTCCTGGTTGTGCCTTGTACCAGCTGGGTGACCCTGGGCAAGTTGCTTAATCTCTCTGAGCAACTGTTCCTTATTTATAAAAGGAAGTTTAATTTCTAAGTGCTGGCTTACTGTGAGGATTGTAGATAATGCAGGTAACACTCAGAATGTGCTCAATAAACATAGGCATAGCATGATCAATATCATATCATAGTTTTTCTTCATTTTTATTTTCTATCCTGAAATTTTTATGATCTTAGAGTCTTAGAACAGAGAGAGTCATTATGGGTTTCCTAATCCATAGCAGATTGTGTACGTTTGGCAGTACCAGCATGTTTCGGACAATTAGAATCTTGAATTTTGCTCTGGGGAGTTGGGGGAATTTGGGCCCCTCCCTCATGTTCCACATTTGTCAATTAACAGACACTATTAAGATAGGAATCAAATCAGACTTTCAGAATTCTCAGTGCAGGCCAAAGGGTGACAACAGATCTTGCTGACCCAGCTTTGGTCTCCAGTGTCAGTGTCATTGTGTATTTTCCATGGTCTTCTGCTTCATCCCCTATAGTTCCTGGGGCAGGGGACTGCCCTGGAAAAATGGGAGAGAGTGGAACTTAAGAGGAAAAGGCAATAAAAATCACAGCACACAGTGATGTTAAGACAGCCCCTCTCTTTCCCACAAACCAAAAAAGATAATACCACCCTGAAGGAGGTGATGAATCACAGGTTTGTGAAAAGGAAACCCCTTTCCACTGAAATAAAGCAGCATGATCTGTAGGGAGCGGCTATAAGGTTAAGCCTCAGACTGACCTGTTGGCAAAGCCACAAACAAGTCCCAGCTTAGAGGGCACAGCCCTCTTAGCATAATTAGGCTTGACCTTAAGACACACCCTAGATCAGTGGTTCTCAACCTTCCTGATGCCGCGACCCTTTAATACAGTTCCTCATGTTGTGGTGACCCCCAACCATAAAATTATTTTCGTTGCTACTTCATAACTGTCATTTTGCTACTGTTATGAATCGTAATGTAAATACCTGATATGCAGGATGTATTTTCATTGTTACAAATTGAACATAATTAAAGCATAGTGATTAATCACAAAAACAATATGTAATTATATATGTGTTTTCCGATGGTCTTAGGCGACCCCTGTGAAAGGGTCGTTCGACCCCCAAAGGGGCTGCGACCCACAGGTTGAGAACCGCTGCCCTAGATCTATCTGGGAAGCTAACAGGCTGTGGGAGGTGCAGCAAGTGCTGCCAAAACAAGTGAAATGCATAAGAACATTGTAACTATGGTGACCACTACCTTGTTTACTTCCGGCTATAAAATAAAGCATCAACTTGCCTGCCTCTGGATCTCTCTCTGTGACCTCAGCCAGTCACAGGAGATCCACCTAGACCCAGCTTATTCTCTTTGTCTTTTCTAAATCCTTCCCTGTCTTCCCCCCCTCCCCCAAGGCTCACCGAACCCTTGGCTGTGCTGGCCCAGCACAATGATCCATCTACAAGTGCAGGGTGTTCTGAGTTCATGAGGTTATGTGCTCAGGTTCTGTCCAGAATTACCTTGAGAAATGACTAATCTTGAATACATGGAGCTCCCTAGGTGGCTGGGAAGCTCTGCACCAGCCTCCAGCCCTGCCCAAGGCCTGGGCTCCCCATGGCCTTAGAACTAACTGCCAAACATACAGGGGCAGGTGAGGTGGAGCACAGCATGAACTTGGCAGCCAGGCTCAGACCATGAGCCTCCAGTTCAATGTCTCATCTTCACCCCATTTCCCACCACCTAGTTTTTTCTGATTAATTCCAGATTTGGTTTTCATTAGAGGTTTTGATGGCCATTCTGTTGGACCTAACGGCGAGAGGCAGACGAGCACAAAGGTTACACGTGGGAGCCCTTGAGTCAGCTTACGTGGCTCTATGTCCCAGCTCAGACCCTTACTAACTATGTGACCAGCTAGGGAACAACTCTGACCCTGCTTCTTCCTTGGTAAAAGGGGACAGTAATAGTTCCTACCTTGGCGTTGTTTGGATAAAAACGGATAATAGACTTGAAAGAGTCTAGCACAGAAACTAGTTCAGCGTAGGCTGCTGTTCTGAAGCTGATTTGGGCCAATTCAGCCAAAAAAAGAGGGTGTTAAGAGGATCAGAAGCTCTCAAGATTATTCGAAAGCTAGAGGTCGAGACTCAAGGCTTCCCAGGAATGACAGGAATGACATCTCAGATTGATATGAAGAAACTGGCGCTGCTGCCACTGAGTCCCAACTGCTCCAATGTACAGTGTTGCCACTTCTACACCAGGAACTCAGCTTTGTGGGTGCTGTCACCACAGCTACCACATGAAAGAGAGCACCTGTCTCTTCTTTGAGTCAAAATCTGGCACAAGTATCCCTGGGCCACACGCCTGGCCTAGCTGCAGGGGAGGCTGCAAAAGTCACTTTCTAGAATCTCAGCTATTGTAAATGGAGGTTATGGCCCCTCATCCAGACTCACAAAGTAGGAGATCCCCTGAATATAGGAAGGGGTTCAGAGGCCACGCAGACAAGCCTGATAACAAGTGTCTAATACCCACAACAAAGAGATACCATCAACACAGGAAAATAAGAGGATGTTGGGTGATACCCTAAAGGCTTGTCACATCTCGGTCATTTTATACTTGGAAATCAAAATCTAAATACCAAGAGGCCTTCTGGTTACTTACGCAATGTTTCCCCTCCTCAGTGTCAAAATCCTGTGTTATTAGACGTGATAATGTGCCAGTGATAAGTCACATATCCCAGCCTCCATGACAGGTAGGCATGGGTGGCTAGTGAGCAGAAGCCATTGGTTGGGGCTTCTGAGAAATTCTGTAAAAGTGTCCTTCTGCTCTTCTCTCCTCCCCTCCTTTTTTCCCTACTCAGAACACAAAAGCCATGGCTAGAGCTCCAGTAACCACCTTATGATAACGTAGCAACTGATATTGAAGCCATTTGCCAAGGATGGCAGAACAAAATACAGAAAGCCTCTGAGTATCTGATGACCTGTTGTCCCAGGCCTGGACCACCTAACACAATTCTTTATGTGCTGGGAAAAATGGTCTTATTTGAGCCATTGGTGCTTTGAGTCTCTGTTCCTAGCAGCTGAAGGTAATTCCTTACAGGTACCAGCTGTCTTCAGAGGTACTTGTCTCCTAGCAATCCAAGACGGCATCATCCTCGGGCACATAGGAAAATCCCAGGAATGCACTGGAGGCCCCGGAGCTGCTGGCCACAGTGTCGGGAGTGCAGCCAATGGACTTTGACACGGCTTCCTGGGTGAACTCTGGGTCGAAGTGTTTCAAGTCAGCAGGTCCTTCCTATGAATAAATAAATGCCAATGACGAGAAGGGAACACTGGGGTCAGAGCTGCCAAAGGAACCCACAAACCCTGAAAGGGATGTTAGGCCTCCCCTCTGAGTGCCTTCTGGACACCCCTACTTAACTGTCACCATGCATTTACATTAGTTATTTTTTTAAATATGTTTTTATTGATTTTAGGGAGAGGGAGAGAGAGAGAAAAAAACGTCAGATAGGCTGCCTCCTGCATACTCCTATTGGGGATCAAGCCCACAACCTGGGCATGTGCCCTGACAGGGAATCAAACCATGACCTTCTGGTTCATGAGTCGATGCTCAACCACTGAGCAACACTGGCTGGGCTACATTAGTTATTTTATTCCACGAGGTCCAATAACCACTTATCAATTCCTCTAACCCCCTAGCACCCTCCCTGCCCGCTACACAATAACCCCAAGACAAGTCTAGTCAACATATACTTACTGAATGCCTACCAGGCACTGTTCATGGCTCTGGGAATACAGGAGAACAAAATAGACTGGGGCCCTGCTTTCACAGAGCTTATATTATGCAGAGGGTAGGAGGATGAATAATTAGCATCTACACAAACGGATAATTTTGGGTGTTAATAGATCTTATAAAAAATATAACTTAGGGTAATATAGTAGAGAGTGACTGGGCTGCTTTAGCTGTTTTGTGTGAGGGACATTGTAAAAATGGTCACAAATTCTCCATCCCCACCCAGAGGTGGAGTCTCTTTCCCCATCCCTTTAATATGAGTTAGCCATGTGACTTGCTTAGGCCAATGGGACGTTACCAAATGGGATGCAATCAGAGGCTTGAAAAACACACACTGGGAGTTCTCTCTTGCTGCATTTGGAACCCTAAAGGCCATGTGATCCAGCCCAGGCCATCGTGCTGGAGTCTGAGAGGCCTCATGAAGGAGAACCCAGTTGCCCCAGCTGCCAGCCAACTGCCAGGCATGTGAGTGAGGCAAGCCTAGATCATCAACTGCCAGCTGACCTGCTAGCTGGCTGCTATCATGAGAGAGCACAGTAGAGTCAGCTGGCCTGGCCCAGGCCAAAGAAACTACCCAACCAGCCCATAGAATCAGAATGAAATAAAAAATTGTTTTAAGCCACATAGTTAGTGGGTGGCTTGTTGCGCAGCAAGAGCTAACAATACAGCCTCCCTGTGGAGGAGGCACAGTCTGTGGAGAAGACTGAGCCACCTGGGTTTTATGAAGTGAGCAAGTGGAAAGGTCTGTAGATCCACTCTAGCATGCAAGCCTTAGCCTGTAGAACCAAAGAGACCGTGGCTCCCAGCTTCTCAAAAAGGCCACAGGACACAGTGGTACTAGCTCAGGACTTAGCATCC